AAACTGTGAAGTTAGAAGAAGGAAGGACTGATATTTGGGTACTTAAAGGCCCTATGGTTATGAGCAGGAATCACATTCCACCCAACAGATGGCAGTAGTGACATATTGTTTTTAAATAAGCACATAGAACTCCCAAGTTCAGAAGAAAATAGAACAGGGAGATGAGACAGGTAATCGTTCTGTCCTCATCAAAATCCAAGTCATCTCCCATCCCTCCTGAAGTAACACAGAATTAAAGCTAACAAAGCCTACCTAACTACCTCTGGATAAAATCAAACAACAGCCCACCAATGATGCATTACTGATGAGAATTATAACCAACAATGTCTTATCTTTTGGTTTTAGTAGAAGGATTAGAAAGGATTACCGCTCTTGTCTGCTGAATTCAACTAGACTTAAGTGAGAGGATGGATATAGTTTTAGCTGCTCATATATCAGCATTCTAGAAGAAAGAAAATATGGACCCCCCGTCCTCAGTTGCTAATAATTGTTGAAGTAGTAACTTCTAATTTTTTTTAATTGAGATAATATTTGATATCCTCATTCGGTATTACCACCACAGTGGGCCCACCACCCTAGACCACCACCATAGTCAACTGTGCTTCCTTCCCTCTTTGTTCTTACCCCACTCTTCACCCCTCCCTCTTGGTGCTACAGTTCTATAGTCAGCTCTCAGGATTAGTTTTTCAACTTGTCTTTATCTGACTCTTAATTTAGTTACTTTATATCCCCATATTTTAGTGACACCATCCATATTTATCTTTCATCTTCTGACTTATTTCACTCAGCATCATCCCTTCCAGCTTCATCCATGTTGCCACAGATGGCATGAGTTGATCTCTGTTGATGGCTGAGTATTCCATTGTGTACAAATATCACATCTTCTTGATCCACTGGTTTGTTTTGGGACACTTAAGTTGTTTCTATAATTTAGTGAAAGTAAACAGTGCTGCAATAAACATGGGAGTGCAAGTTTCCTTTCAAAATGGTGTTTTTTAATTTGGGGGGAGATGCCTAGGAGTGCAATTACTCAGTCATCTAATTCTTGAAGTTTACTACACTTGTGAGCAAGTTTACTACACTTACTACATGTCTAATTTTCAAATCAAAAAAGTATTTACACTAGAAATCAAAGACTTTCTCTCCATTTGGGACTCCACTTACTTAGGTTATAAAACATTGGATAGCTAATGTAAATTTTCTTGATTGTAATTATATTCTGGTATCAAATACATAGAAATATAAGCTTATTTTTTGTACTAAGTTAAAAAGACATGTCTATAGTTTTTAATTATTCTACTTTCTTCCCTACCACCCCCCCCCCAATAATTCTACTTTCATTACACTTTTTCCTTGGCCTTATTCTTAGCTATAATTTTCTGCTTTTTTTTTTTTTTTTTTTGTGGGACCCTCGCCGGCAGCCGGGCAATGAAGCGGTGCTGCAGAGGCTACAGGCAGCCTCGCAGCCCAGCGCTCAACCACTGCGCCACCAGGGGAGCCCCAATTTTCTGCACATTCAATATCATCCTGTAGAGGAAAAAGGACAACCGACACCTACCCCCCCAGCAAAGGAATTGCTTTTCATCAACAGATGGTGTCCCAAAGCATGCACCTCAGAGAGTTCACAGGACCTGAAGATTTAAAATTTTTTAAAAGATTTATTTATTTAAGCATACAAGAACTGGGGTACAGGCCAGAGTTGTGGGGGGAGGGAGGTAAGAGGATTCACCAGAGACAGAGTGGGGACAGAACAGGCAGATTGACTGAAATACACTGCTGAGGGGACCAGTGGGTGAGTCAGGAGAGGTCTGCTGCACCATGTGGGTAGCTCCCACGCCAGGGATCGAATTCATGCTGCAGTGGCTGTGGATAGCTTCAAGATTGGGTCTTAACCCCTTGCACCACTAGGGAGGCCCTGAAGATTTAAATTTTTGAAGAGTTCACAGGACCTGAAGATTTAAAATTTTTTAAAAGATTTATTTATTTAAGCATACAAGAACTGGGGTACAGGCCAGAGTTGTGGGGGGGGGAGGTAAGAGGATTCACCAGAGACAGAGTGGGGACAGAACAGGCAGATTGACTGAAATACACTGCTGAGGGGACCAGTGGGTGAGTCAGGAGAGGTCTGCTGCACCATGTGGGTAGCTCCCACGCCGGGGATCGAATTCATGCTGCAGTGGCTGTGGATAGCTTCAAGATTGGGTCTTAACCCCTTGCACCACTAGGGAGGCCCTGAAGATTTAAATTTTTGAGGGAAACATAAGAACCTCTGCCAGATGCCTCAGGAACTGATAACTTGCAAGAAGTCACTTTTAATATTTCATCACTGTTTCCCTTCCATGATCTCATATCTTTGCAAAGCTGGGTTTTTGGTGGTTGCTCTGACAGATTTGGAAGAAAAGTGCCATGTCCAATCTAATTAATTAATTCCAGGATTTCAGATGCTGTTAGTACCCAGTAGATAGATAAACATACGTAAGAAATTAAGGTTATTTAAAAATAAAAATAATTTTTTTCTTTCAATATTATTTTGTAACCAGCTACTGAGTTTTTAGGGCATAAGTACTTATTAAGGTATCTGAACCACATTAATGCATAAACAAAACTATTAGATATTCCTTTTAGCCTGGAGAAAAAAATTATAAGACATTTAAGGTGCTGTGAATTGAGAAATTAGAATGTTAGGGAAACTCTTGAGTAAACTATTTGCACAGGTGAGTTGCTTTCTTTCCCTCAAAAATTTTAAGTTATTTCAAAGTATGAATCATGAATTTCAAGAAGTGACATAAAAATTTAACAAGTAAGACCAGAAAAAAAAAAAATAAGCTTAAGTTTCAAATCCACAAACTGGACGATTTCAAGTAAATTTCCTGTGCCTTGTTTTGTCCTCCCTTGTGTGGGTAGGAAAAGATAACATTTAAGCATCTAAAATCCTTCCTGGATCTCATGAATGCACAGTGAGTGGTGGCTTTTATGATTTCCAAATCAACCCATACAACACGAGAGTGACCCATACAAATGTCTCTTCCCAACAGAAGAGAGGCCTTCATTAGTGAGGCCTGGAGCAACATGAAAATGCAGGGATCCTTATTCAAGAATATTAAGACAGCAGAGCATTAAGCCACATCTGGGGCCCTCTAGTCCTCAGGTCCTCTGTGAAGCTGCCTCTGTTTGCCCTCTTTGAATGGAGTTTTCTCAGATTTTTTCCAACTCCAACAGTCTTTCCTCCAACATCAGACCTTTTACCCTTATTGTCTGTGTTAAATAATTACCTCTTCAATTATCACCTAGTCCCCAGTTGACTGTAGCAATATGTTAATATCATGGAGTTGTAAGAGTTCTTTATAAATGCTGGAGTGCGTCCCTTATTAGATAAATGACTTGCAAATGTTTCCTCCCTTCTGTAGTTACCTTCATGTTCTTGATTGTATACTTTGAAACAAAAAAGTATTTTTTATTTTCATGAAGTTCAGTTTAAGATTTTTATATCATCTATGAATAGAATTGGTTGTATTTTTTCCTGTCTTCTCTGGATACATTTTATTTCTCTTTCTTGATTAATTGCCCAACTCCCAGCCTCTGGCACAATGCTCAATAGAAATAGTGAGAGTAAACAGCCTTGTCTTACTCATGTCCTTCACCCGGTCTTTGACCATTAAATATGATGCTAACTGTGGGCTTGTCATAGGGTTGTCTATTATGTAGATGAATTTGCATTCTATTTCTTGTTTGTTGAGTGTTTGTTGTTTTTGTTTTTGTTTTTTTTTCAAGAAAGGCTATGGGAATTTATCAAATGCTTTGTCTTTGTTTAGTCAATGAACATGTGTTTTTGTCCTTTATTCTATTAAGGTGTTGTTTTACATTGCTTGATTTTTGTCCATGTTAAGTCAACATTACCTCTTGGGAAAAACCTTATTTGGTCATGGTAAATAATCTTTTTTATATGTGTATATGCTGGTGGACACAGATTGCTAGTATTTTATTGAGAATTTTTGTGTCGATATTCTTGTGATGTTTTTGTCTCTTTTAGATCAGAATAATAATTGTTCTTGCAGAACAAATGGAAAAGGTCTTTTCTATTTCTTGGAAGATCATGTGAAGGATAGGTATCCTTCTATGCATGCTTGATAAATTTACCAGTAAAGTCATCTGATCCTGGCATTATCTTTGTGGGGAGTTTTTAAAATTACTAATTCAATCCCTATTTTTAATGTTTATTCACATTTTATTTTTCTTTCTGGTAGCTTGGGTCTTTCTAGGAATTTGTACATTTCTTCTAGGTTATCTAATTTATTGGCATGTAGTTTTCATAGAATTTCCTTATGCTTTATATTTCCCTGAGTTTGGTTCCCTCAAGTCTTTGCCCCTTTTCTTGCTCCTTTTAACTAAACTAATGACTTGTTCCTTATTGCTGAGGTGTCCTGTTTCTTTGTTGACCTTCTGCATAGTTGTTCCTTCCTGTTCATCCACCTAATGACCTTGTCACCTCCCAAAGACCCCAGATCTTAATCCCACTATGTTGGGCTTTAAGGTTCAACATATGAATTTTGGGGGCACATATCCAGCCCAAATCAGGTATAGACAGAAATAAAGCTTTCTCTGAAAATATCTCCAACCCCTCTATTCTCCTTTAGATAGCAGACTATATTGAAAATGTCTTCATAGACCATTCAGGTACTCTCACATAGACAGATGCTGCCAAACCAAATTTATAAATGACCATTTCCTTAGAGTAAAACCCTATTTGTTATGTTTACCTAAGGAGCAAAAGTTGAATTAATAAGGTGTTTAAGTAATTTTTAAGATAACTGATTTTATGTATTTCTGGTATGCTCCCCCCCCCAAAAAAAATAATAAAAACAAGAAATGTGCCTCTCTACTCAAGTTTTCCCTAAAGCAAAATTCACTGCAGGATAATTAGGTGGTGTCAGGGTGACAAACAAAGTCTCCAAGTCTCCACAATTCGTGTTCAAAGCTTCCTGACCATTTATATCACTCACTTCACATGTCCTTCTAGAGCTGCGGGGCCTGTTGTCATCCCCACTCTGTAGCACGGAGTAATGGAAGAGTCACAGACTGAAACAATGTCAGCAACTCTGACGTAGGAACTGGTATGAAGAAAAGATCCTCCTGGTTCTCAAAACTTCCTCCTGTAAGGGACACACATTCCAGATTGAATTTCTTTGAAACCAGGCCAGTCATATAGATAAGGTGCATTCCCTGAATGTCAAAGGTATTGGAAAACAGTAGCACAACCAGTCCTCCACACACTGTTACAGCCACACAGTTGCTGCTGAGTGTGGTCTCTCTTCCATAGATCTAAAGTCTAAGGAGAAATACAAACAAGACACTCCACTGTGCCCACCAAATTTGCTCCCCCAAGATACTTGGTAGCCCAACCTGGAGAAACATGTGCTACTCACAGCAAGGAGTGGAAGTCTCAGCATCACTGCTAAATCAAAGAGACCAAAGGCTCTGAAATACAGCTGACTTACAAGCACAGTCCAGAAAAGTAAGCCAGAACCTGAGTGTTAAACCCAAATAGATTGATTGCCTACTAAAATAAGTTTTTTAAAAGGACCTAAACTCTCCAAACATAAAAGACAGAGTTTCTGGGATTCTATTAAAAATCTCACTTGAATGAGAAAAGCCAACTGACATTAACACTGAGATGAATCAGATGTTGGCGTTATCTGATACATATGATTGTAAAACAACTGTTCTGAAAATGCTTCAAAAATTAGTAACAAATTCTATTAAGACAAATAAAAACAGTTGCAAAATTTCAGCAAAGAATTATAAAAAAGTGAAATGGAAATCATAGAGCTGAAAAATACAATAGCAGAAAAAGTTTTTTGAATTCACTGGATGGGTTCAATAGTAAAATGATGAGGAAAACAGATAAGCTCACTGAACACGAGGAATAATTTACCCAATTTGAATAACCAATGTAAACATAGAGCAGATAAAAATAACATAACCCTTCCATATTCTGTCTATAAGAAGCGCACTTCAAATATGACAATATAGGTAGATTGAATGGGTGAATGGTAAACCAACTGGTTCAACCGTAGCATGGAATACTACTTGACAATTAAAAGGAATAAATTCTAGACATAGACGATTTGAATTGATCTCAAGAGAATTGTGCTGATTGAAGAAAACCAATTCCACATGTTTCCTACACTATTATGTCATTTATATAACAATTTTTAAATGACAAAATCTTAGAAATGGACAATATTAGTTGTCAAGGGACAAGGATGGGTATGGGAAAGGAAAGGAGGAGAAGTATGTGGTTTTAAAAGTGATGAAACTTTCAGTATCTTGACTGTGTAATGGATACACAAATCTATACATGTGATCAACTAGTATAGAACTAAATACACACACACATCAGTACAGACAAAACTAGGAATATGAACTAGATGGGGGATTGTATCAATGTCAATATCCTGGCTATGATTGGATGAAACTAGGAACATGCATATGGGATCTTTCTGTATTATTTCTTGTAATTGCATGTAAATCTATGATCACAGCAATAAAAATTTCAATTAAACAAAAATTGTAGTGTCAGAGTTGTTTTAAAGCACACTTGCACACACGCAGAGAGAAAAGCTTGCATTCATCCTCTCTTCTGAAATAGTCTTTTCCTTTTGGGAGTTCATCACCTCTCCAATTGCCCATGCCTCTCCCCGCAGCCATCTGTAGGAGTTTGAACAAAGGGAGACACTCCAGGTAGCCTACCTTGCCCTAGTGCTGTGGCCCCTGCTTTTGTCCTCAGCTCTAAGTACAGTGCTGACCTAGCTCTTTGGTTCTGAGTCAGCATGAGTTAGCTCATAATGAGCTGCAGTGCTAACACCACAGCACTGACTAAGCCCAAATTTGGCAAGTCAAGAGAAAAGGAAAGAACAGAAAGAGGAGAGCCAAGACTGCAGGGAGGTAAGGTTGAGTAATAAGGATTTGAAGTCAATGCTCAGTGTGACACTGCTCTTAACAGTCTTTCAGGGGCTGCTGCTTCCTTTCCTGGCACCAAGAAATGACAGAAGGAATGACACTGTGTGATCAGCCACGTATTTGTGATTAATTAGAAATGTCTTTATTAAATGGTAGGCAACAGGGGCTTGTAAACGCCTTGCAGGACATACCAAGGGCACAGCTTTCCCCTCGGGCCACTCAAACTCTGGAGCAGTTGAACAAAACATCAGAGACTTGGTGTAAGTTGCTCTGGTGTGAGATTCTATCACTCTTGGTTCTTTTCATCTATCAGTCTTGGTTCTTTTCATCACCTGTGTGAATTATGTAGCTTAGTAACGTTGACATATATTATGGGTATGGCTTATTCAATCCCTACCCTTTAATTAGGGAATATCCTATAGTGTAGACATTGATACAAGTCAAGGCAACCCCAAGGTGACCCCCACCAGGAATATGAACTTCCTTTGAATGACTCTGGCTGCAGCCTGCAGCTGTGAAGAAGAGGCAAGCAGATAAGGAAGGGGTGGAGGGCACATCAGGAGCCTTTGAGATAAACTATGACCTTCTGGAGGAGTGGAGGGTTTGTCTCAATGCAAAGTCTCCTATTCTTGAAACCTTCCGATTTTCCTGGCTTTCTCTCCCTCTTTTGCCGTCACTTTCACATCTACGTGGATTGGACTCAGCCATTTAAATCATTAGACTGGCTAAGAACTTACAATTGCTGCTTTTTCAACATGCTACCTTTTCTTGCCCAAGAATTTCTGGCAGAAGACACAAAAACTACGCAGTTTTGATTCTCAAAAATATCTGCTAACTGTAATTGGGCCTCAAAAAGACTACATAGTACTCAACTGTGTTCATTTTTTTCTTGACATTCTTGTGCATTGTCTGAAGTGATTACTCCAGATATGTGTCATGCCTTTCAAATCCCCCGCCCACTTCTGTTTTTATCAAGTTACCTCTTCTCCAAGTTTTGTAAAATGATGGAAGATACCCAAAGAAAGCTTTACCCACATTTTCTCCTCTTCACTTCATCTCATCATGACATCTTATCTCTCCTTTTCTCCTGTTGCTTTCCTCTGCGAGCCTCTATTCAGAAGATCATTTGTTGTCTTATCAGTATGATCAGTGTCCCTCTTTCTTCTACATTCTGTCTTACCAAACACCGCCCACATCCTCTAGACCAGTCCCCCTGGCAACCTCCACTCCTTGCATCCCCTCCTTCCTGAAACCTTGACAGATGGTTTCTGCTTCCCTCACTCTGATCAACAACTGTCCTTAGCAATTCTATCACATCAAAGCAGTTTTCTGACCTGGCTGCCTTATGTGCCAATGTACATGTTGCCACACGTGGGCCCATGCATCTTCCTGGCCCTTTTTCCTTGGGGACTTTCCTGGTGCTCACATTTTTCTTATGGCTTTGATTCTATCTCTTCTATTGTTTTATTTCTTCCTGTAGACCCCAATTCATGAGCACTCTTTGAGTTTCTATTCTCAGTAATGTCCCCCTTTTCTGTGTAAATTTCCTTAACAAATTCATCAACCAGCAAGAGTTCACTGTCCGCCTGGAACCTGGCTCCAGAATCTTGGACACTCTGCTTTCTATCTGTTCTCCTATCTCTTGTTCCTTCTCCTTTATTGGATGTCACCATCTGGACAGCTCCTTGGAAATGTAAGTCTTTACCATCCAACTCCAAATTCATCAGCTTTCCCCCAAACTCTCTCTTCTCTGTGAGTCCTAGTTCTATTCTTTTTTTTAAAGTCAGTTTTATTTATTTATTTATTTATTTATTTTAAGATTTATTTATTTATTTATTTATTTATTTATACAAGCACTGGGTACAGTCAGAAGTGTGGGAGGGTGAGAGAATTCACCAGAGAATTCAGGGAGCAGAACATGCAGATGGACGAAGTACACTGCTGAGGGGAGCAGCTGGCATGGCAGGAGAAGTCTGTGTGCCATGTGGGACCCTTGCCGGGGGCCGGGGATGGAACTGGCGCTGCAGAGGCTGCGGGAAGCTTCGCAGCCCAGCGCTCAACTGCTGCGCCACCCGGGAGGCCCCCTAGTTCTATTCTTATCACCAAATCTAGGACCTTCGGCTCACCCTTCCCTGTGTGTTCTTGAGGTAGCACTGGGTCATTGTCACTCCAGCCAGGCATCCAGCACAAGGTTTAATACAGAGTAGCAGACACTTATGGTTTCTTCTTCCTTATTTGATTATTAGGTCATATCCATGAAAACAATTGATCCCAAAACATCAAACTGTGTGATGGATCTGGATTAAGTAGACAGTAATGCTGGAAATAGCAAGGAGTAGCAAAGACATTCTAAGAATTGACTTGAATAAGCCTGGAGCTCCTCTATTCAACATTATGGCTTCATATGTATAAAGCATTCAAGTAAGCATCTATTAAGTAAACCATGTTTTATTGACTCTTAATTTTTATTTTATTTCATATTCTGCCACTCTCCTAAACTAATTCTAGTTGGGTGATTATCATGGACTTTGTAGCCCTATTACTTTGCAATAATGGTCATTAACTTCCCTCATAAAAAATGTTGTTTCTAATTCTTTTTCATTGTATTACATTTCAAAACATTCTTAAATAACAAAAGAAACAGTCAAATGCCAAGACTCTGCCCCTAGTCTTTCACCTGCTAAGGAAGCACCTTGAAGGGCAGATCTAATATTTGTAGGAGTTTTCATCGTGGAGGTGTGGAGGTTGGGTGCACCTTTAGGTATCTAGGCAGTCATCAGCTTTAAAAAATGGATTTTTCAGGGCTCCATTCAAAATAGCAGTTAAATTTCATTCCTATTTAACATTGTTAGGAACACATGATGTGCATTGCATACATTAATACCCAGTTGGATATTCTTGTTGCTAGCAGATTTGCAGCCCCAAAGAAGGAAAGTGAAATGCAGCAAAAATGGGAACTTTAGAGGCATTATACTCAGGAGTCAGTGCTGCGTGCACACAGGGATGTTGAGAAACAAAACCATCATTTCTAAGGGACCCTGGAAATCCCAGTGCTACGTAGGAAGATGGTCCTAAATGTGAGGCTTCAATTCTACCTTGATTTTATTCAACCTGCTAAAACAAGCAAACCAAAAGTCTCAAAAATTTATTGAGATTATCTTGTAATCATGGAGTAGCTTTAGTACTACTTTCTGTATAGAGAAAGCAACTAGACATTTTAGTTAGTTTTTTGGGAGTGAAATTAAAAAAAAAAGAACAAAATGTTCCTCAAGGTCCTTCCAGTATCAGGTCAGTCACAGTGATGAAAACTGTCACGTGTGTGGCTTTGTTCGTGAAGGACAAGTGCCAAGCACAGATTTTTCTCTTAGCTCAGCCCTTGCCATTTTTTCTCATTCATTCACTATGCATCCAGTTGCAGAATCTGAAAATGAGGTGAGCAGTGCCAAAACAGCTTCACTCATTTACTTTTCTACAAGTGAAACAACTACTATATTCCAGGAACTGGGCTTGGTACGGTGATAATGCAGTTACTATCCTCTTAAGGGTAATAGTCTAGAGAAAAACATTATAAGTAAGCAAATGTATGTGTGTATGTGCACACGTGTGCATGTGTGTGTGCATGTACGTGTGTGTGTGTGTGTAGTAGGAAATATAGACAAAAGGAAAAATAATCAGGAACTGCAGCAAAGAGAATAATGGGGGTTTTACGACAAGTGAAGTGAACAGACAGGACTCTTTTTGATATCCACACTGAGACTTCAGAGAAGTGACATAACAGACTGAGAAGAGGAAGCAAGGAGAAGGCATTGCACAGACAGATGCAGTGCAAAGGCCCTGAGGAAGAAAAGAACACTGCGCATCGAGAAACCCCAAGAAAGTCCAGGACTATAGGGCAGAAGATGAAGGTGAATGTGTGAGAGCTGTGTGTGGACAGGTGGCAGGCAAAGTGCTACAGGCTCTGTGGGCTTCCTTCCAGAGTTTGGGCTTTTCTCTTTGTTTCTTTCTTTGTTTTAAGAGTAATAAGAATATATGTTGAGGGCCTCTCCGGTGGCGCAGTGGTTGCGAAGCTGCCCATAGCCTCTGCAGCGCCGGTTTGATCCCCGGCTGCTCCCAGGCCACCGGAGGAGGGTCCCGCATGGCCCGCAGACCTCTCCTGCCACCTGCTGCTCCCCTCAGCAGTGTACTTCGGTCCTTCTGCCTGTTCTGCTCTCCTCTCTGGCTCTGGTGAATTCTCTCACCCTCCCCCGCTTCTGACTGTACCCAGTGCTTGTATAAATAAATAAATAAATAAATAAATAAATAAATAAATAAATAAATAAATAAATAAATAAATAACTTAAAAAAAGAGTAATAAGAATATATGTTGAGTGGTGAGGACAAGCACTGAATTACAAAGAACTGAAGAGTGAATGAGTGTAAGGAAATAGGTAAGTAAGGTGGGCTAATATCTTCAGGATATCTTGGCTATAAAAGAATACGGAGCAAAGAGGTTGAGAGAGGTTCTATTTTTAGTGTGGAAATTTTGAGTGAATTTATAGACTAGGAGATGAGTCATTAAACATGAACATGAAAGGCTGCCCCTCTCCCAGCAACCGGGAGTGTCTCTCAGACAAGGTCCACCAAGCTCTACTTGAGGATTGCCTACAGGGTCAGTTCAAAATAAAAACCCCTAGACAACACCCCTAGATCTGGGTGAGTTTGATGAGAGTGATGAAGAATATTCGGAAGTGATTCTAAGATTCCTAGCTTGGATGCAGAATTAATGATGAAATCAATACCCAACATTGGGAATATGGGACAGGAGATACGTGTGAATGGGAAC